TAATTTCCAACTTAATGAAAAGTTCAAAGAATAGTACAGAGAATCCCATATACCCTGTGCCCTGATTCACCAATTGTTTACCTTTTGCTTGTTTTTGCATTCATTCATTTCCTTTTTCTTCTCTTTCTCATTCCCTCTATTCTGCTCTTCTCTCTCTTTTTCCTTTTTCCTTCTTCCCGCTCATGTTTTCTTAAAGTCATTTGAAAATAAATGGGAGGCATTTGCCCCTTTATTCTTAAATATTTCAGGGTGTATTTAATAGCAAGGGCATTTTCTTCCTTAACTACAGTATGAGAATCAAAATCAGGAAATTTAACATTGTAGAACACTGTAATGCATTCTACAGGCTATATTCAGATACTGTTGATTTTCTCAGTAATGGCCTTTATGGGCTACATATATGTGTCCTTGCTTTTGTGTGGGTGTACAGTTCATTCTGAGAATGACTGTTTTTCCTGGTCCAAGATCCAATGTAGATTGCAGTTGCAGTTGGCTGCCATATTTCTTGCCTTTATTTGAGACAATTCTCATGTTTATTTTTCTTTGTTTTTTTTTTTTTTTTGTCTTTCATGACCTTGATACTCTTTAAGAATACAGAAAAATTACATTGCAGGATTTTCTCAAATTTGAGTTCATTTGATTTTCCTCGTGATTAGATCCAGGTTTAAGGTCACTGTGTTTTTCAATTTTAAGAGGAACTGGTATTTCATCATCATAGATTTTGAGTGGAAAGATGGGGGGAATAAGATGGCCTGCAAATTCACATGTGGAGTGAGGGGGGTTTTCAGACAGAAGAGGTGCTCTGAAGGTGCCCATCTACAAGTGAGTGACTATGTTCTGGAAAGAATAGTTCTCTGGGGGATTTTACCTCACTGATAATGGAGGCAAGAAGATAAAGTGAAGAGGAAGGCAAAGCCTCTCGATTTTCCTTGATAAGAGATCAAGTGTAGGTAAAATTCTTTCTTGTGTAACATGGAAGTAAATTAAACATCTGAAGAATGGTCTCTTCTGCCTGGGAACCTCAAAGTTTCTTGGTGCCAAGAGACATAAATAGGCTTTCTGCTCTTTTGTAGTAAATCAGTGACTGTCTCCATGTAATACCCACACTTCAGGCAGAAGATGAAAAATGCAGCCCAGCATCTGCCATCTTTTTAGTTCATTCCGAGAATGACCAGACATGTTCTAAAAAAGTTTTCTTACTCTAGATGTGGGCCATGTCTTTCATCACCGAGAACATTGAGACTCTTTAAAAACAAATGACTTTTGAAGCAGACTGACAGAAAGGACTGTGTTGGAACAACAGAGGAATGAAATGATTGCAAGTAAATGCTTTTCTTTTGATGCCATGCACAAAATTATTGATCTTTAATGGTCTGAAGTTTAGAAGTGACACAGTTGAAAGGTCCCCTCCAAAACTCATGTTGAAATTTGTCATTGTGATGGTATTAAGAGGTAGGATCATAAGAGGTGGATTAGGTCACGAGGCTTTCACCCTCATGAACAGATTAATGTCATTATCTTGGGGGCTGTGTTCTTTATTGTGAGAGTGGATTGTCATAAAAGCGAGTTCAGTCCTTTCTTGCTCTCCTGAGTACTCTTCCCCTTCCATCTTCTGCCACGGGGTAATGCAGCAAGAAGGCCCTCACCAGATGCTGGCACCTTCATATTAGACTTCCTAGTTCTAGAACTATGAGAATACATTTTTTTCTTTATAAATTATCCAGTTTCAGTTATTCCATTATAGCAGAAGAGAACAGACAATGGCAAAAATTGGTACAGAGAGTGGGGTTATTGCTATAACAAATACTTGAAAATGTGGAAGCAGCTTTGGAGCTGGGTAATGGGTAGAAGCTGGAACAGTTTTGAAGTAAATGCTGAAAAAATCCTGTATTGCTGTGAATGGAGTGTTAAGGGTAGTTCTGGTGAGGGCTCAGAGGAGAGAAGAGAATAGCTGTAGGGAAAGTCTGAGACCTCTTAGAGATCACTTAAGAGGTTGTGATCAGAATGTTGTTAGAGATACGGACGGTAAATGCTATTCTGGTGAGGTCTCAAGCAGAAGTGAGAAACATGGTATTGGAAACCAGAGTAAAGACAATCCTTGCTTTAACATCGTGAAGAATTTGGCTGAATTGTGTCCATGCCCTAGGGTTTTATAGAAGGTGGAATTTAAGGGCAATGATCTAGAATATGTGGCAGGAGAGCATTCAAGGCGCTGCATGGTTTCTTTTGGGTGCTCACAGTAAAATGAGTGAATAGAAAAAATATTTATAATTAAAGGGGAAGCAGAATAGAAAGCTTTGGAAGACTCTCTGCCTGGCCATGTAAAGAATAAAACAGCATATTTGGGAGAAAATGCTAAGGGTGCGGTCAGGCACTCATTTGCTAAATAGATTAATACAGCTAGAATGTAGCCAGGTGCAGTTTAAGACAATGAGAGAATTACCCTGACAATATTCTACAGACCTTTCAGCAAGCTAGGACCTTGAGAGAGAGATTTCCAAAGTGGTACCTGTGGGACCTCAGCATTCACTGCCCTATGCAGCCTTGGAATTCTGTTCCCCAAATTCCAATGCAGCACCCCTCAAGCAGGCCCAGGTACACCTAGTGCCAGAGCTTCAGAGGGAACAAGTGGTATGCCTTGGTGGCGTCCACATGGTGCTGATCCTGTGGAAGTACAGAATATGTGAGCCTTGGAGCCATGGCCACCTCTGCATAGATTTCAAAGGATGTATCAGATAGTCTGGAGGTCCTGGCAGAAACTCGTTACAAGGGAGGAGCCACCACAGAGAGCAGTACTAGGGGACACTGTTAAGGTGGAGCTATGAGAGTGAGACTACCTCAGAGACTCCTGAAATGTACAGCTGCCGGTGTACCACTCCAGCCTGGGAGAGCTGCAGGAACAAGACACCAACCTGAGACAGCTGCTGAGTGGATGGGGTCCAGCCAAGCCATGGGGGCAGGGCTGCCCAAGGCATTGGTAACCTAATTTCTGCTGTAGCATGTCCAGGATGCAGGACTTATGGAGCTAGAGGACATTATTCTTCAGCTTGAAGACTTAATGTTGTTTTCCCTGTTGGGTTTTGGACATACTGGGAACCAGTTTCTTCTTTCTTTTTCCTATTTCTTCCTTTTGGAATGGGAATGTCTGTTTTATGCCTGTTTCATCATTGTGTTTTGGAAGTAGATAACTTGTTTTGATTATATAGGCTCACAGCTGGAGGACATTTGAGGTGGGATGAATCATGCCTTGAGTCTCATATCTGATTTAGATGGAACTCTGGACTTTGGGCTTTTGAATTGATGCTTTTGGGCTATTTAGGTGGAATGAATATATTTTGTATGTGAGAAGAACATGAGTTTTGGGAGGCCAAAGGTGGAATGTTATGGCTTGAATGTGTCTTCCAAAACTCGTGTTGAAATTTAATTGCCTTTTTGATATTGGACTTCCCAGCCTCCAGAACTGTGAGAAATAAATGTCTTCCTAAATTACCCAATTTCTGTTCTGTTATAGCAGCAGAAAACAGACTAAGACATGACAAGAAAGAGTTAATTCTTTCAAGCAAATGCCTAAGGTACACTCTGGGAAAATACGACTGAATGAGTTACGGCTCAGCCTAAAATTAAACTCCAAGCTCCTTGTCTGACATATGAACTATTAGATCACATTACTTTCTAATCTGATGGATCTATTTTTTTAATGAATTGAAGAAAGAATACCCAGTGGTTCCTTTTGTGTGAAGAAAAGATAAATATTAGCCAGGAAAGGTCATTTTGGTTTCCAGTATGTGGGGAGTTCATTATGATGGGTTCTGATAAATTGTATTGTGTAGTTCTTTCTGATAGCAGAAGGTCACATCATGCCCTTGGGTGGACATAAGAACAAACAACATTCTTAATAAAGTTAGAGGATCTGGGAGATGAACATTTTCAAGTTGTTTTTTTTCTGAGCAATTCATATTTATACAGTTATTTAAAGCCATTTCCCTCTTGTTGAACTGATTACTCAAGGCCCATACTGTCTTATATGAAGCCCCAGAGTGGTGAGTCTTCAAATTTATCACCGAAAGTGTTCTCTAATCAAACTTGTGAAATTATCTTCCGGTTATCTAAGAGAAAAATCTCAGTTGTGCTTGGTGGTGGATTCTTAATTGGTTTACAGGATTCTAAAGTAATTAGACTGCATTTCAAAAATAATTTTTATGTTATATTTGCAACTTGAATATTTATTAATGTGTATCATTATTTTTCTCTGATCTCTACTACTGGGAGAGATGTATTTAACTTAGCATCATTACAAACGGTATAGTTTCATGTTCTGTTTTTTCCTCAAGATGTCTTTGCTTTAGGACCATCTGAGTCCTTTTACAAACGTGTTCACTGAGTAGAATTTTTTTTTTTTTATGTTTGTGCATTGAGGGAGTGTCGATTGTGGTATTCACAAGTGCTCTTTATAATTTGGTATGGTGGATTATATTGGAAAATACTTTTTCACTTGGTGTCCTATTAACATTTTTTCAAAAAGCAACCTTGTAGATTGTCTAGCATCATCTTCAGGCTTATGTCACACACAAACCTAAGAATTCAGAGCTTTATGCTGGCTTTTCCACTGATCTGTGGGGTTGGGCAAATTGCATGTCTTGGGAATGCGTTATCTCCAACTTCAGGTTTTGTCCAGTGGTCAATGAAATGCGAGAGTGAAATCGCTGCATTTCAAATGACTTGGGGCCCTCTGTGACATTTTGAATACCCTTCCCATTGCAGGAAGTTCTTTAAAACTATATTGTGTTAACTAATATGTGGCTAGTTAATGACTGTACAGTTTTCTATCTTTTCCTCCCTAATATTAGGATACCTCACAACTATGGATATGTTTGGCTGTCTGCCATTTGCCGAAACTGCAGGTGGCATGGTAAAAACCATTATTTTGCTGCTGGAAATTAGTTTCATTTTAACATTAAAATGCTAATTGATTCCATTTTTTTTGGCATTTTTTGACATAGGTCTTCTGAGCTATGATAATTTTTTCAAACGGCAGAAATGATTGGTTCTAGCTACAGATGGGAATTCGGAGTCACACTGAAATACATCCTGGAATAATTGTGTTTGACTGGAACCAAATCTTACAAAGTCTCCAAGGTAAGATTATTTTAATGTTCACCTAGAGGTAATATCTTTACAAAATATTGAGAATTTCAGCAAAACTGAGTATCCTGGAGTTGATGATTTTTTTTTTTTTTAGAAGCCTGCTTTTACATAGAATTTTTAGGAATTTGGGGAAATGTTGATCTTTTCATTTTAGCTTTCACCTGTGAAAGAAATTATTTCAGTTTGCAAAACAGTACTTTGGTTTATTCAGTAGGGGAAAAGATGAGGAAATATAAATCTATTGCTGAATAGCTTTCTGGCCCTACCCTGACCACCCTGCCTGGCATTTCTCTAGGGGAATGCTTGTTGAGCTATTGTTAAGAGAATACTTGTTTTAGGGACTAGGAACTTGTTGCTACTTACCCAGCAACTCGTTTTTTAGAATTATCCATTTAAGAAGAAGATGGATTAGGGATCATTGCCTGGGATTTGGAATGTCTGCCCTTGAGACTTCTGATTTTAGTGGTTTGTTGTTGGAATCCAACCAGGAAAACAGAAACCATTCTGCTGGCTTTTTCACTGCTCCGTGAGGTTGGGTAAATTGCATGTCTTGGGAATGCATTTTCTCCAATTTCCGTATTTGTCCACTGGAAAGCGAATTTTGGAGACTGGTTATACATATGATGAGAGAGTCAGGGAAACTGAACAGAAGACATGCCCTGGCTGGGGATCATGGAAGTAGTCCATGGGGAAGCAGTACCTAGAAGAAGGGAACTAGACTGCAGGCTGCAACCATAGTGGGCCCTTCTGTCGGGAACTAGAGCCATGGTGGAGAAATGGCCAATCCACAGATCTGCCAAAGACGGAGAAGGCAGGGAGAGATGTCCTTGCCTATCCCTTTTCACATTCTGTAGACTTCAGCTGTTGCCCTTCCTTGACTGAACCCAGCCAGTAACCAGCTAATCTGTGAGCCTGGGAAATGCAGCCTAGAGGACCCTCCAGTCTTCAGTACAGGGGAAAGGGGAAGAATGGATCTGAAGGCACAACAGGCCCAGGCTGTCACATAATTCATATATTTAAAATACATTTTTGTTTCATTTTATAATAATCACTTTCATTACTGAAAAACATCCCATCTCATGGCTGTGTCATATTTTGTTTAACCAGTCTCATACTGTAAAACACTTGGATCATTTTTCTTTTCTTTCCCTCCCTCTGTCCCTCTGTCCCTCCATCCCTGCCTCCCTGCCTTCTTTTTTTGAGACAGGGTCTCACTCTTTGCTCTGGCTGGAGTGTGGTGGTACAATCATAGCTCATTCCTGCTTTGAATTCCTGGCGTCAAGCAATACTTCCACCTCAGTCTCCCATTGTGCTGGGATTACAGTCATGAGCCACCATGCATGGCCAGATCATTTTCAGTAGTATAAACAATAAAAAAGTCCCATACATTGATCGTTATTTCTTTAGGGTTAAATCCATTAAATGATCTGCTGGGTTGAAGGATATGAACATTGTGAACATTTGACACACATGATCAAATCATCTATCAGTTTATGGTTTTGCCAAGTTAAACCTTTTCTCTTTGTATTAGAGATATTTCATTCAGTTATTGCCAATAGTGGAACATTATTTTAAATATTTTAAATAATGACTTGCTTTCCTCTGAGTGTGGGTGAAATTGTGGTTATGATGAGATTCACATCTTTGATTAGATTACACCTGTAAGGCAGAGATGAAGGTATTTCACCAGTGTTTTTAAGGTCTCACATTCACTGACTTTCAGTTAATCAAAAAAAAGATTATCCTGGGTGGGACCGACATAATCAGGTAAACCCTAAAAAGGGACTGAGCCTTTCCTGGAAGAAGAGATTCAAACCATGAAGGATTATATGCAGGGGGCATGTGGCAAGGATGTGGCAAAGCCTGGAAAGCAGTTCCTGGCTGATAGCAGGAATACAGGGACCTCAGTCAGATAGTCCCAAGAAAATGGCTTTTGCCAACACTTGGAAGTGATCCTTCCCCAATTGAGCCTCCAGATGAGGACACACCCAGCTGATACCTTGATTTTAGCCTGTGAGTTTGAGCAGAGGACCCAGCCAGAACATGCCAAACTCCTGACTTACAGAAACTATGAGATAATATATTGTTGTTTCAAACTTCTCCCATCCCAGCACTAACTAGACTCGACCCTGCTTAGCTTCTGAGATCAGATGAGATTGGGTGGGTTGAGGGTAGTGTGGGTATAGATTGTTGTTTTAAACTTCTAAGTTTGGTAATTTGCTTCAGATGTTCCTAGCATTCCAAAGTTACACAGAAACATGAAGCCTCTCTGCTTTTAAGGGCCTTTAGTTTCTTAAAGCATGCCTTCCCTCTCCCCAACCTCCATGTACACGCGTGAAGGGGACAAACTCTAGAAGCAGCTTGAAAGGTGGCAAAGAAAATATGTGGACCTTCCATGAATTTGAGATGCTATTATCAATCATATAATTTGGGGGAAGCCCAGAGGCTCAAATTCCCATATTTGATGATTTTTAAAAAAATGAAACACCCTTTCTCACACATAACGTTTTAAAATTCCAGTTGTTACCCCAGTGTCAGCTATTGCTCTAGTTGTTACAAAGGCTTATTTTTCTTACCTAAGGATCAGAAGTTCACATGGCCACATGTGAATGAGTCAGGCTGGCTGGGCCTAAGGTACTGGCTTGAGGGAGGGACTGTGGAGACCTGTCTAGGGGCAGGTGCGACCACCCCAGCCTGTTACTCCCATGTGGAAATGTGAGCCCAGGGATGCCAGGAATAATTTTCCAAGAGAATCTGGATTCTAATATGCAATCTGGACATTTTATGTGTTGGCAACCAATTCAATTTATTTAAAAAAAAAAAGCGCAGATCAAACAAAACACATTTACAAGCTGGATCAGGTACTGTGGCTTCCAATTCGTTGTCATTAGTGGCCCCAAAAGGGAAAATTTCAAGGCATCACATAAATAAAGGATTAATTTTATATTGCTGCAATGCAAAGTACCCAAGATAGCAGTTTAAAACCATTTTGAAAGAGTTTAAAGGGGCAAAAAGAAGCCAATGCTTTGTATTACTTTTAACATCAAGTTCTTCAAAGATGATTGGCTTGGCTGCTTAAAAGGAGATAAGTCTCAAATCAATAAGCAATACACCCTTTATCAAGGTCTATTTGACTGAGTTTTGAGGAGTCGTGGGAGAGAAGGCTGGCAGCAGAACCTGTGTGTGCCTGGGAGTGTGGTATGGGCATGGAGTTCCTCTGAGGCTTTCATGAGTTTTCGCTGGAGCAGGGAACCGGGACTTTGGTAGAAGCACTGCTGTGTTGCTGGCAGCTAGAGATGCTTCCTTAGAGGACTTCCTTAGGAGCCTTACCTGTAGTGTGACTCCGGCAAGAGGCCAAACTCAGGTGCCCAAGACCAAGAATCCAAACCCATGTTTTTTATTGTGGGCCCATAAGTGTGTATACATTTGCATATGCTGAAGGGAGTTTCTTTGATCCATTGTGGTGATAATGGATGCCACAGGCATGTGTGAGGCAGAACCTAGTCTCACTAGAATTTCAGGTGCCAAATGCAGTGACTTTTGCTTGAAACCTTAATTTAAAAAAAGCTAACACCAAAAGTTCATCAGGTTCTATTTACTTGATTCCCTTATGATGTTAGAAAAAAAGGGCAGACAATTAGGCAGCTGGGAATAATGATTTTGATACATTCCTTGTTTTACTCTTTTATTTTAGAATAGACCACGCAACTGTAATGTGAACTGAACTGTCTGAGCAACTGTTTTGATACTGTCCATCATAGGAAGTTAAATTTATTTTATATTCACCTGGATTTGCACACATTCCTCTCCAAATCTTGAGATTGGTTTAGTCAACTGTGAATCTAGTCTTCCAGACCAGAAATCCTTAGTATATAGTCAGAGAAACCAGGAGAATGTTCTTGGACTACATGTGCAAAATCTCCATAAATTCTTTCAGATCTAGAAACCATATATATTTTATTTGCATCTAGCTCTAAGTGTGTTGCTTTTACATCTCATGGTATAAAATAGAATAAAATCCCCATGTTAGGGCAACTTGAGCACAACTTGGGGATTGATAAATGAGCTTCTCACTGAGAAGGTGTTTATTGAATTTTAAATTTTTGTAATTTTCAGTGAACACCTTTGTAATTATCAAAGGTGTTTATTGAAAATTTAGTTAATGCTCAGTGCAAATAAGGTTTGATTGGTGTTCTGTTTTCTTGGGAGAAAAGAAGTCCAGCTCCTGCTCTCTCCCGCCTTCCTGGGATGATGCTTGCCAGGGAGCCTGGCCTTCCTCAGCCCTGACTGACTCCAGCCCTGCTTTTCCTCCAGGATGAGAGTCTGTGCTAAGTCAGTGTTGCTGTCGCACTGGCTCTTTCTAGCCTACGTGTTAATGGTGTGCTGTAAGCTGATGTCCGCCTCAAGCCAGCATCTCCGGGGACATACAGGTAAGTCCTTTAAGCTCATTATGCACAGCTGAGATCAATTAATAAAACCCCTCCAAATGTCAGAGTCCACATTTTGGACACAGGTAACTGATGAGAGCTTCCAATGGTGTGTAAATAACTAGAGGAAGCATGAAATATGGTGGTGTAACACAGTTTAATGGTTTAGTGCTTTAAGAGTTTTAAAAAAATATTTTTCAGGCTTTTAAAAACTTTTATTTTCTTGGACACACTTTTATTTTTATAGCACTTTTTCTCAAGGAATCCCAGAAAACCAGCAGCAATTTGTGTGGTTGGCCTGTGTGTGTGTGTGTGTGTGTGTGTGTGTGTGTGTGTACATATCAGTCCATCTGTCTGCCCATCCATCCACTCATCCATCCACACACTCCTACAGCTTCCTCAGAAGTAGAACATCTTTATGATAAACTTCAATTAACACTTACAGGGCCTTAGTGAAGGGAACAGTCATATAATTTAAGACCTTTTTTAAATATGTGGAGAAAATAGGCTACATGATCTTTTTCAAAAGAAGACAGAAAGAAAAAGCTGTGGTAACTTAAGGGACTTAAAATGGGGGTTGTTAAAAGATTTAGAGGCAGTCATTCTGATAACTTATAGGGAAACTCTTATCTGTGCATTGCTGATTTTTAAAGGTGAGATCAAAACCATCAGCTACAGATCAGTTTGCGTTTTTTTGTGTTTCTGTCCTTTCTTTCCTGCATCAACATTTAAAGTGACACAGTGGAAACTCCCCAGTGAATTGTGTTTTCCTGAATAATTCATATTTGTCAATGGACTTGTTGTCAATTAATTTACTCTCTCAGCTGTGGTAATCTAAGGCATGGCAGTGCCAGAAATGTTTTGACTTCTTTAAGGAAGAGTGATGCCTGAACCCTAAATCACGTATGGGTCAGAATTACAAGTTCTCTCTCCAAAGGTCTTTGCATGGAAAGCTCATGAGATATTCTTATCACCAATATATAACATGTCATACTTTCCACTTTGTTATTCTGATATTTTAAGGCTGGTCATAATTTTAGGCTCAAGATAATTTTCAAAATCTAATACAACTCAATTTTCCCTCCTCCATTGACAGTTCCAAGAAGATGAGAAAAATAATGAAGTTTTAGCAAATCAGCATAAAATCAATACTCTCTGGCTGCTGTGAAGTACCCACAGCTAGTTGGTTATTGTGCTGTGCCTCTTTTTATGAGTTTGTTCATGAGGGTAGTGTTTGAGGTCCTGAATCTTACCTATTTAATACAGATAAGATCACTCCACTGTTTTCCTGAGTGGAGTTGAAGAGTCAGACTAGCCGATAGGCGAAGCATTTCAGTGAGATTACCACCCACTCTCATTCATGCTGAAATTTTCTCTAATAATCTTGCAATGTCCATGTGGCATTTTCGTCCCAATTTAGTGCTCAGCTGATGGAGAACTCGGCATCACCAGAAAGAACTGGGGCAGTGCACTGAGATCCTGAGAAACTCTGGTTAGATCTTCACTCTACTACGGGTATATTACAGTGGGAGCAAGTTGCAGAGAGTTAACTGCAGAAGGCTGTGTGTGAGGGTCCAGAAAGGCTCCCAGCACGGTCCTATGGGCTTTGTGGTTAGTACTGGCCAATTAAAGAAATGGTGGCACTAGGAACCCCTCGTTAGAAGTTTGATGCTTTTTATGGCTTGGATTAGAAGAATGGCTTGTGGATTGCTGTGTGTAAACAAGGAGATATTTTACAACCATATCTCTACCTACCTGCCTAAGAGATACAGAGGGAAGAAGATGCGAGTCTCCCCCCAGTTTTGGGAGATGGAGTGTTATGGTAGGTGTGTATCAAAGATTTAATTTTAGTTTAAGCATTAAAAAAAAAAAACCTAAATAAAAACCCACCTAATTTTCACAGGATTGTTAGTGAGACTCTTTCTTGAAGACAGATGGCACCGATACATTGCCACAGAGTCCAGAGGTGGTATTTTTAAGCAACTATAAGAAACAAAAGACCACTTTTGTTGTTTTTTTGCCATAATAATTGAGCAGCAGATCACATACACATATAGGACTTGTGTAGCTTCAAGCTGTAGAAAAGGTGAAGGGCCAATTGGCAGATCCTTTTCCTTTAAAAGGAAGCCAGGGCTAACTCTGTTATTTCTTCAGTTAGCAGTTTGTCCTTTTGTTCCCTTTTTTTTTTGTTTGGCTGTAAGCGGAACATCATTTCCCCACAAGAGGGCAGCAAACATGGCACAGTGGAAAGATGCCTTCTGGAAGGAAATTTCAGCAATTTGACTCCAGTGGAATTGATCATTTAGGGATCTTCCTGGAAGTTTCATCCGGTGTACACACGAGTGGTTGCGACACAGACCATCTTACAGTTTTAAGATTTACTACTGGGAACATTTGGGCACTTCAGAAATACAGATTTGGTCCTTTAAAGCTGGAATCATAGCTAGTTTTCTGACTGAGCTGAGAGAGAGTTGGAAACTTGGGTGCTATTGATTTATACATTTACTTTAATAGTTCCATTTCCCCAGAGAAATTTGAAAATAACCTGGACTGCGCTGTTTCGATTCCACCAAATGCTGTGGTGCTTGGTTAAAGTCCCTGGAAAAACTGGGGCATGCCTGAAAATGAGGCAACAAAGGAAATCAAATGTTTGGGGGGGGCGTCTAAAGTCAAATATAATTCTGGTTCTGGTACATCTTAGCTGTGTGGCCTCATCCAGGCCACTTAACCTCTCTGAACTTGTTTCATCATCTGTAAAAATGATATGATCTACTTTAATTGGAGTTATTGGGATAAGTAAATAAGGAAAAGTAGGTGAAGAGATTAGCACATAGTGAACATTCCATAAATGGCAGCTGTTTTCACATTTGGAGGCATCTAGAATGAGTCTGGAAAGGTTCACATTCCAGGAACGGCTGAAGACTGTGACCATGGGTAAGTAGATGTGGTCAGAGCTTTCAGGGTTTTAAGCTTTCTCATGTATAAGAGAAAAAGACTTGTTTTTCATTGTTCTAGAAAGCTGACTGTAGTGAAGAAAGTCACTTTAGGAAGACTGAGGTTTCAGCTCAATCTTAAGGAGGGAAAGGCTTCAACAAGCTGGAGAACAGAGTGACCTAGAAAGGGTGTTAAGAGCTCTTTTACTTGCAGGCCTTGGGCTAAATCTGCTAGAGAGAGGATGTCTCACTGATTGGGAAGGAGTTCGATGTCAAGAATGGCGAAGGGTCTGAGCTTTTACCCTCCTTGAAAGCTGATAGGTTAGCTGGTCGTAGTTTCGCGGATGCTGGGCAGAAAGCATGAGATACTTAGGTCAGAGACAAAAGATTTTATTTTGGTACTTATGTTTTGAGATGGAGTGTTACTTTGTTGCCTAGGCTGGAGTAATTGGTGCAATCTTGGCTCACTGCAACCTCTGCCTCCCAGGTTTGAGTGATTCCCCTGCCTCAGCCTCCTGAGTAGCTGGGATTATAGGCACCTGCCACAACATCCAGTTAATTTTTGTATTTTTAATAGAGATAGGGTTTCACCGTGTTGTCCAGGCTGGTCTTGAACTTCTGACCTCAAGTGATCCGCCCACCTTGGCCTCCCAAAGTGCTTGGATTGCAGGTGTGAGCCACCACACCTGGCCCGAGACAAAAGATTTTATTACTCATGGCACAGGAAGCAGCATGAGCTTCAGGTTTGCTTCAGTCCTTCTTTCATTCTTGGGCAAATTATGAAACCTCTTTGGGACTCAGCCTTTTTCTATGCAAAATGAGAATAATAAAAATAATAAAAATAATCCTCAGAGTTCTAGTAAGGAATCAGTTAATGTCTGGGAAATGCTGAGAACTGCGTTTGCCTGGTGAGTGCTCGAATGCTATAGCCATCTTTATTTAGACATGCCTTCTTCTTTTGAATGTTTTTTTATTTTGTAGAGGTTCTGTACTGTTCAAATTTATGGAAATTTAGGTTTTCTGTTTTTTTTTCTGTTATAAATGCAAAACATGCGTGTTGTGATTGTGTATTTTGATGGCTTACGTTAACTTAGGGTACGATTACTTAGGGTACATTCTCTGAAGGGCAGTTTTTGCATCCAAGTTTGGGCTCATGTCTTCTTCCCCTCTAATGGCTGAAATTTACAGGAACCCTGCAAATACTCTTGACTGCATGGACTGTTTTATCTCTAATTTTCTCTAAGAAACCTGGTACTTTCAAAAATATTGAGTGGGGCATATAACATCTACTACAGGAGTCTCTCTGAGGTTTAAATTTGTGAAAATGATAAAATTGTGCAAGTTGCTATTTGTACTTTGCCGGCAGAAGTGAATTGTACCTACACCAATGAGTTTGAAAAATGATTTTCTTGCATTGCCTAAGTTCTGACACTAGGGGGTAGGCAAGGCTTATCATAGAGCCACACATGTAATTTTGCATGTTCTATAGCCACTCTGAAAAAAGTAAAAGGAAACAGAGGAAATTAATTTTACTAATACATTTTATTTAACCCAATATATTCAAAATATTATCATTTTTAACATGTGGCCATAGCTACATTTCAAGTGCTCAGTAGTCACATGTGGTTAGCGCCTATGTGTCATGAACTAATAATGAGTTAGGTCTTAATGTTGCCTTTTTAAAGATTAGAATTAGGAGTCATTTTAATTTTCATGGGTCAGTCATAGAGCACAGTATTTAACTCTCTTTGTTTTACTTATTTTGTGTCTTATTTAGTTACTTAGTTTTTTTTTTTTTTTTAAACCAGTGACTACTAAATTTAGAAAAAGTACCAGGTAAGTGGGGTTTGTAACCTCAAGTCATAAAGAATGGGGAAGACAGTTCTGTTTCCTGATGAATTGCTTATGTTCTTATTTGCTGCAAGAGCATATTTTTAGGGAGAGGGAAGGGGCAAAAATAATTTGACAGTTGCGTGTGTGTGTGTGTGTTTATGCATGTGATACCAACCATTAAGTCTTAAAATTACCCACTAGCAAACTTATTTTGATCAGTAATGAGCACTTACCCGC